CCTCCCCCTCTCCCCTCTCCCCCACCAGCCGTTCTGACAACGCAGAGCCCCTGGCCCATCCGTCATACATCAAAGCGGTCCCTGTTTGGCTCCCAATTACATTTGAGCGATAGGGCGAAAAGAGAGTGGTAGTGGTGTGGGGCGGAGGGGGGGGGGGCGATCGGGCCGAAGCCTCTCGTACTGCGGGCTGCTGCTGGGCTCGGCCCGCCAGGCAGGCTGGAGCTGGAGCCTCCAGCCCGACAGCAATACGTCAGCCACCCCGCGTGGGAAAGTCGTGATGCCATCTCAAGGAGCGCCCCGCCCCGCCCCGCCACCAAGGCCTTCGGTTGATCGAGTGTATGTCGCTCTCGAATCAGCGCGGGGACTTTGCGAAAAAGTCGCCCCGCGGAGCCTCGCCAGCGAGGAATACGCCCTACATGCAGGAGACGGTGGCGGAGGGGGGGATGGTGCGCTGTGTGTGGAGGTTGCGCGGCCGGCCCACAGAGGGCGCGGGCATGGCGCTAGCGCCACTACACGGGCGCGCCGCCGCAGGGACGGACTCCAGGGCCTGGAGGATCCTCCTCATCATCGGCAGCCTGTGCGTCCTAGAGTCCTCCAGTTGTAGGACTCTCAAGCTGTGGGAGAGCCCCGTCCTCCCTTAGACTGTACCGCTTGCCACGCGTGCGTGCGGTCTGCCTACCCGGTCGGGCCGTAAGGCGCCGTGGCCTGAGTCTCCCCAGGCCGGGCGGCCAGGCCAGTAGTAGAGCCTCGTGCCGCCTAGAAAGAGAGGCCGAGTCTCTCTAGCGCAGCCCTCCAGGAGGGCGGACAAGCGGCAAGCAGCAGCAGCAGCACCACCACCACCGCAGCACACAGCAACGCAATTGCGAAAATCGTGACTGCCTCGGCAATGGCTCCGTATGATAAAGATGCTGTGTCACACGCGCCGGGCGTGGCGGGGCGGGGCGTGGCGGGCCGGGGCGGTAATGCGAAAGTAATGCTGGCCGACACACAGGCGGGCCTAACAGCGGCCCCCGGCAGCGGGGCAGGGGGAAGACATGGAGAAGAAGAGGAAGTGTAGAGGAAGAAAAAGAACGATAGTACAACAAGAAAGAGAGAGGGAAGAGAAAAGTCCGTCGCCAATACACGCGAGGAAGAGAGCGGCCATCGCTGCGTCGTGCAGCTCGCGGGCCACACCGCGAGAGTGCCCCTCCCCCCTTCTCCTCCCACGACACAGCAGACCGTAGCCCAAGTCCACGCCGGCCGCGCGCGGGGGAGAGAAATACGTCTCAAAAAAAAAGTGTGACCGCGCGAGGGAGATTCGAACCCGCGATTCTCATCAGTAGGGAGCAACAGGCAGCGGCGGCGAGGCGGCTCTCCCTCTCTCTCTCTCTCTCTGACTGACAGTGCGGCTGATAAGGACCGTGGCGTGGCGCGGCGCGGCGCTCACGACCCGCCGCCCCGTAAATCACCGCGGTACGGCTGAGGCCCGAGCAACCTCGGCGGGGCGCCGCATCGATACAATGTACGATCGACCTAATAAACAGCATGACAAGCGATCAGGGAACACCATAAAGTACCATTAATTTGCATGCGCAAGCAAGTGCATGCAGCATCGGTGCAAGAGGAGCATGAGGGGGGAAGAGGAGGGGGAGGGGGAGGGAGGAGAGGAGGCGCTAGGACGGCTGCGTGGGTGGGCCGCGTGCACAACCCGGCAGGAGGCAGCAGCAGCAGCAGCAGCTCTGCGCGAGGAGGGAGGAGAGGAGGCGCTAGGACGGCTGCGTGGGTGGGCCGCGTGCACAACCCGGCAGGAGGAGAGAGAAGTGTTGCGCGGCCGAGCGAGCGAGCGCGAGGGTAGGCGGGAGATGCGCAGCCGAGGCGCGAGTAACTGTAAATCACGAATCGACAGCGCGGCCTTAGACGCGCCGCGGGCACCACCGCCACCGCCCCGGGCAGAGAGGCAGGGCACGGCACGCAGGCAACCCGCGCCGTGTGCCCCCCGAGCCTCATCACGTTCCCGTCGACCCGCCGCGGACGGCCGCAGCACCGCGCCGGCCCGGCCCGGCCCGCGTGCATGTCAATAAACAATATTTATGCATTGTCATAAAAAATACGGCAGAATAAGGCCCCGGCAAACGTCTGAGCGAGGCGAGGCGGCGCGGCGCGCGAAACGTAATCGGCCGTAATCACGAAGCCGAGCCGAGCAGCGCCACGACTCGGCCCGACATTTCCAAATAGTACCCCCAAACCGTCGGGCGCGGTAAGGTCCGGCTGGACAAAAACAAATTGGGGGACACCCGGGCCTCAGCACCTGCTCGCCATCGAACCGCATGCAGGACGACGACAACGGCTAGACCGTCCATAAAAAGCTCGAATTCATCACCTTAGTGCGTTCGGAGTCCTCGCAAGAAACGGTCGGGGGGGAGGGGGCAGGGCAGTGCACTGCGACCACCGGAGGGGGGGGGGGGTGTTCAAACACCCGCTTGTTTAGCCAT